AAGATGAATATCATTTTATATTAGTATGTACCTGTTTTCTTGAAATTCGTAAAAAATATATTAAGAAATACTACTATGTTAGACCAAGTATGTTCAAATTTATTGAATTGTTAAATTGTAATAATAAGAAAATATTGTGTAACTTGGCTTATTATATCAGAGATGTTATGGCTAATAGAACATCCATGTCTTATAATATGTAATAATGAAAGGTTAATCCTCTATGAAGGAAGTAAATAGAATATTTCATGTTGTATTCTTTATCTATATTTTCATTGTTAACAGTATGTATGTTAAGATCTATAGCTATATTTATATACATTAAGTGTCATGTGACTATTGTATAGTATATTTAAATTGTACAAATTGTAAGATGATGTACCATGTACAAATCTTGAATAAAATTTCTGTTCTGTTCTGTTCTGTTTAAAGCCCACTCGATGAATAAAATTTCATCTTACACACAAACAAACAAATATACTCTATGTGTTTATCATAAGACACATGGGCGTTGAATTTTTAATCAGAAAATCAAAATATAATCTACTCTACACTCACAGAGAGTGGAACCCCATATTGATATCAAAATTGAGCATCGGTAAAAGATATATGTGAATTTCTGCTTTTCCAGATTTGAGTTTTTAGTCGATATGTAAAGGAGAAAATAGGTCAGCCACAGGGTAAGTTTTCAGCATTTAAAACATTTATATAAAATACAAGTCTCCTTTTAGGAAAATCGAAAAGTGATTTTACCCTTCTGGCTTTCCTTCATATTTATTTACCCATTTTGTTCGGATTTTTTTATGTCAGATATATGTTTATGTTTGATTTGTAAATAATGTACATATTGCATCTTATTGTTTGGGTTAATATTTCAAACCTTTGATTAAAGAAAAATGTTTCAGTTAAATCAATTAATAACTTAACAATTATTCATATCTTTATTTTTTGTAACAAAGGCAAACCGAATAATTTATGGATGCGGGTATATTTAGTAAAATTCATTTGTGTCGACATGTTATATAGATAAGAAAATACGGGAGATATAGATACATTACGTACAAAAAGAAAGCTAACAGTGATCAAGAAAGTAAACGATCTTTATGTTAAACTGCATATGTCATTGATATAACTATTTTTAGTTGTATACGGTTAAACACTGATCATTTATAATAACTTAAATACATCTTTTAATCTTAATTATGTATACAATCGCGACATCAGTAATTTTAAATATGGCGCATTAACGTAATTATATCAACTGATATGAAAATAAATGCATCGTCATTTAAATGGTCAATTAAGTTCTAAATTTTAGTGCAGTAATTACGCCCACTTAAAGGGAGATACGTTTCGGCTAGAAGGCTTTAACTAATTTCTTTCTTATAGTAGAATTAATATTAAGTTATACTCCACAGTTTTCAGAATTTAAGAGTTTATTGTTCAACATCAGTAAAAACTTTGGTATCAAGATATTTGTATTGGTTTGTCGGTGATATGGAATCAAATATCCGCCTGTTTCTAGTTAATATTAGTTTGTCTTTCTAAATAATTTCCAATAGATGAACTATTTAACATTGATTACAAAATATAAAAGATGATAGGGAAGAAAAGAAAATGTTGCTGAATTAAACCTGCTATCATCTTTATAGTAAAAGGTACGAAATAACTAATTATCTCCTCTGAATAATATATATTGATATATTATGTATTTTTCATGTAACATATTACATGCTTATTACATGGAGTAAACAGCGTCGAATGTGAAATAATTTGTGATAAAAGAAGCCACACGTTGATGAACAAACAGGTATTTTCATACGATTCTCTCTTTTAAAATACTAAATCACTATAAGTTATATATGGTCAGCAAACAGCCACACATATTTCCACAATATTGCCAATGAGTACAGTTTTGGAAACCGTATTAGAACACCAAAAATAAAATACTTTTGGGAAAGATAAATTGTATTCCTGTAGGGCTTTAAAATCTGTAAACAAATATAATGAAAGTTTATATTATTAAATGTTTTTTATGATAACTATGCGGGTTCAGTTTCATGCATTTATATCAAAGTAACATACACATGTGTTATATGACAGCGGGACCTCTTGATCTTTTAATTCTTGGCTAGGGCCAATACGGGTTTTGTGATATAATAACCTCTTAGCAATACATAGTTGGTCAAATGTTTTTCATAAGCAAACAAAGACAGACACATAGAAAATATTTAACAGACAAATGCTAAAGTGTAAGTAATAAATATGTTCTAAATGCTGGTGCAGGTAAACTGAATGTCCAAAAAAAGGAGATCAGATCAGATAGGATCAGATCAATTAAACATCGTAAAAGATGTAGTGAATTTCCACTTTTCCAGATGTAAGATTTAAGTCGATATTTGAAGGAGAAAATAGATCAGTCACAGGGTAAGTTTCAACATTTTAAACATTTATATAAAATACAAAGCTCCTTTCAGAGAAATCGAAATGTGATTCTACTCTCCTGGCTTTCCTTTATATTTAGTTACCCATATCGTTCGGATTTTAATGCAGTATTCATCGAGATATACTTGCCGTCATGGGTTATGGTGTGCCCAAAATACGCAATACGTATTGAGAATGTGTCGCTAAACGGACTCCAAATGCAGAGTTTCCTCAAAATCTAACACCAAACGATGCTTAATATTCAAACAAAAACAAAACCTTAATGAAGCATTTATTGGGAATAGGCTCAACATAAAGGAATTGCTGGACACAATTACAGTCGAGTTTCATATGTGCTGAAGAGATCCATAGCTGATATAAGAAATGATAAACAAGATAGACAAGGGAAGGCGGCGTTCAATGAACGCAAACCATCTACAAAACAACGGATTACTTTCATAATAGTAATTGAATAGCATGTTAGTTTTGCCACGTTCTTTTCACCTATAGAAAGGAGTGTTTGATATAAACAATTTTGTCGTAAAATTAACAAAATATAGATTAACTATTAACTTGACTTCCATACAAGATACTCAATAAATGCTACTTTATCAATTGCCAAAAGCAACAGAAGTCAAAGATGACTTTGTCAACTAGCTATTAAGTTACTTTTAAGAAACTTTACTAGGACTCCAAGAATAAAAAAAATGTTCGTGAACATGTGTTATAGTGATGAGATTATATATTGTATTTATATTTGCCATATTTTAAAACAGATATTATAATCGACTTTAATTACCAATTTAAAAGTCCGAGATATAATGCATCGGCATGCTACAGTTTTCAAAACATGCCTGAAAGTAAAATATTTGCAGTCATATCCCAATTTTTTGGAAACTCATAGATTCATGCCACATCCGAATCACTTATTGTAATCGACCTATATATAGAGGATATTGAATGAGTATAAGTTCAATACTGAATTTATTGCACGAGTTGAATAAAATTATATTATGCGAGCGTCTGGCTTCAGTAATGATCTTACACAAATTTAATATTCTATTTATCACATACCAAAAATAAAGACCGTTAAAAGTGAAAAAATAGTAATTTTCATTGACGCGCCTACAGAATAACGCTTACGTTTAGCGCGTCTTTACACTATTTTTGTACTCGTATAACGCTAATGACGTCACGTCAAAATATATGCAAGGCCGTGCAATACCATATTTACGGAGTCGCAAAATCGGCACGGGGTGTGATAATAACATCTTTAGTGTAAAACTTTATTTGGCATCATAATCACCATATTACGTCACTATACCGTTCTATGAAGAACTATGAAAAATAGAAGTCGACTTTGAACGGAATTCCATGTAGTATCGACTTCTGTTCTTCTGCACATAATTTTTAGGAAATGCAGCGTTTTGATTGGATGACAAATAAAGTTGGACACTATATTTTTATAACGCTAATGACGTCACGTCACAATATATACACGGCCGTGCAAAACCATTTTAACGGAGTCGCAAAATCGGCACGGGTGTGTGATAAACATGTATAATGACATTTTTATTATCATTTGATATGACCTAGATTTTTGCGACACAGTGATTTACTGTAAATAGAATACTTGTTGATAAAATCCAACAGAAATAATAGGATGAAGATACAACTTGTTTTAATTTTAATTCATTATTAGCAAATTTTACAATTCATAAACATGACAATTGTGGAATATCTAGGAACTATACAATATATACAGTAGTCTAATATACAGCGGGAATTGGTACTCAAATTGAATAACTTAAAATTAAAATTTACACAATTTACAAATACGATATAGTCAATCAACATTATTAAGCAAAATATATTCCAGTTTATGATCTTTTGAGCTTATAATATGATTTTTTATATTTGTATTTTGCAGTATGTTTCAAAATGGTGTCAGCAAGTAAACTATTAATGCATGTCTGTCTTGAATACATGATAAACTTTATTTATATAAAGGCCTGCCTGTTAGTATACAATAATATTAAAATTTTACTTGCAAAACATATCAATGACATGATATATGCATTGTATACACAGGCTATTCCTATTCATAATAACATATCTTATATAATATCATATTCATGATACAGCCAGAGTTGATACATTACGCTGTATATTTTATTTTTGACAAAACACATTGCTTAAAATTTAACTATCCACACATTTTCAGATTCAAATAATTCTCTTAATTTTTAGTATGTTAGGTCTCCTCAATATGCATTTGTCTAATATCTTTTACAGGGGACATTCAAATAAGTATTGGAATTCATACTCTAGCGTGTTACATAGTTTACATTTTCATTTTGATCAAATGATATTTTTTTATGTGGTTTATATTTATAATATAAGAAAAGGGTTTAAGCATGTTTGATATGCGTGTATAAACAAATGTTCTATAACTTAAAGAAAATGTTTTTTTTTTCATATATTTTGTATTCATAATTCTTCTCTCAAGTGAGCATTTTCATATGAATTTTAAAAAATCCATTTTGAGAAAGCTCTTTATCAAATAATTTACAACTTTAATTCCTCTCTCCTGTGTGCACTGCCATATGAGTCTTTAAGGTAACTTTATTAGCAAATGCTTTGTCACATATTTCACAATTAAATTTCTTCTTACCCGTGTGCACAACCATATGAGTTTTAAGAGTACTCATTTGAGCAAATGCTTTGTCACATATTCCACATATATAATTTTTCTGCCCTGAATGTGCTTCTATATGAGATTTTAGAGTACATTTATGAGCAAACGCTTTGTCACATATGTCGCATTTATGTTTCTTCTGTTTCTTCTGTCCTGAATGTGCTTCTTTATGAGATTTAAGAGTACATTTATGAGCAAAAGCTTTGTCAAATATTTCGCATTTATATTTCCTCTCTCCTGAATGTACTTCTATATGAGTTTTTAGATTATGCTTTTGTGCAAATGCTTTGTCACATATTTCACATTGATAATTTTTCTCTCCTGTGTGTACTGCCATATGTGATTTTAGAATACCTTTTTGAGCAAATGCTTTGTCACATATTTCACATTTATGATTCTTCTCTCCTGTGTGTACTGTCATATGTAATTTCAGACTGACATTGTGAGCAAATGCTTTGCCACATATTTCACATTTATAATTCTTCTCTCCTGTGTGTACTACCATAATATGTGATTTCATATCGGCCTTGCGAGCAAATGCTCTGTCACATATTTCACATTTATAATTCTTCTCTCCTGTGTGCACTGTCATATGATTTTTAAGGTAACTTTTATCTGCAAATGATTTGTCGCAACTTTCACATTTATATTTCTTCTCTCCTGTGTGTACTGTCATATGACTTATAAGATTCCTTATAACTGCAAATGCTTTGTCACATATTTCACATTTAAATTTCTTTACTCCTGTGTGTACTGTCATATGCCTTTTAAGATAACTTTTTTTTTGCAAATGCTTTGTCACATATTTCACATTTATATTTCTTCTCTCCTGAATGTAATTTTATATGAGCTTTTAGATTACTCTTTTGTGAAAATGCTTTGTCACATATTTCACATTGATATTTCTTCTCTCCTGTGTGTACTGCCATATGTGATTTTAGAGTACCTTTTTGAGCAAATGCTTTGTCACATACTTCACATTTATATTTCTTCTCTCCTGTGTGTACTGTCATATGAGTTATAAGATTCCATTTACCTGCAAATGCTTTGTCACATTGCTCGCATTTATAATTCTTCTCCCCTGTGTGTATTGTCATATGCGTTTTAAGTAAATTGTTTCGTGAGAACAGTTGATAACAAATATCGCATTGAATTAACTTACCACCAGTATGCAATTTCGTGTGCCTAATTAAGTGTGTTCTGTTTGCAGTTTTGTATTCGCAGACATCACATTTTGATAACTGCTTTTTTTCTGTACTTCTGTTCATGTTTCTGTTTGACAATACAGTTCTTGAATCCTATAAGATAAACAAGTAAATTTTTATCCCCTTTGTATGTCCAGTATTGTTACTGAAATTTTAAGTATGGTACCAGCTTTCAATTATTGGAATGTAAATGTCAAAACTAGCTCCATATTTCGAATGATTATTTTTATACTGATGACGTTCCTATTTTACATAAAGGATTATCGGAGAATTGTAATATTGATATGTAAATACACTACAATGTGATAAAGTACAAAGAATTAAAGACTGTTAAATGAAGAAATTAAGATTTTTTTTCTTTGGAGAAAAGTTGAATTTAAATATCAATGCAAAAATATTTTATGACTTAAAAACAGTGTTCAATTTATCGTTAAAACGTTATTACAAATAATGATACATATTTACCCGTGTTCTGTTAACTTTCGAATGAAATTTGTTTCTTCTTGTTACTTTTACTCACAAACGATTGAGATATAAATTCGTTCTTATTGTGTATCATATCATGCAACTATTTTAATATAATGTCAAAGTACTTAGAAATTGGTGTTTTATAGAACACGCAGTTACTAAAACAAAAGGACATGTGAAAATGCTTACCGGATATATGTAATTATTTTAATTTGTTAATTCCTGACACTTAATTTTGACACATGGAAGTAGTCTATTCATTAGCCCACATGCGCCATAAGCTATCTCAATTGCATTGTCAAATTAGTGCATAACAACAAGAACTTCGCCACAATCTATTTATCAACAAAATAATATATGTCAATGCCTATTATTAAGTCTGTTGTTTTCTTAAATAAAATAAATCAATATCAATTAAAATAAAAAGTTATAGTATGGATCTATCTATCTAACTATTATTATGATGATTATTATTATTTTTTTATCATTATTTTTATTATTTCCATGTTATTATTATTACTAGTATTATTAGCATTATTATTATTATTATCATCATCATCATCACCGCCACCACCATCATCGTCATCATCATCATTTTTATTGCATATATTAAAGTCAGATTTTCAATAATTTTTCATTCTTCTTCTTCTTCATCTTGTTATAATAATAATAATAATAATAATAATGATAATATTATTATTATTATCATCAACATCATCATCATCATCATCATCATCATCATATTATTATTATTATTATTATTATTATTATTATTATTATTATTATTATTATTATTATTATTATTTAATCAATATTGTTTTTATTTTTATTAGTATTATTATAATCATTATTATTATTATTTATTATTATTATTATTATTATCATTATTATATATTTCAAACGATTATGCATAATGTCACTAAAATCGTTGGGCAAAAGTAAAGGGTCAATGCATGAATCTACCGATTATTAGGAGAAAAAAGTATAGATCTACATGTAAATTAAAATTCGGACAAATTTTATTAATCATATGATAAAGTTAAACTGATTATTACCCTAATTTAAGATATATAAGCACTAAGTTATACTGTTTTTGTGAGATGAATTTTTGGTAGTAAATCGTACTACATGTACTTGATTTTTCTATAAAACATGAAAAATGGTAGCTTTTGTATTAGTATTTTCTCAAGTACATGTACACTTTGTGCGCGCGTGCGTTTGTGTGTGCGGGGAGGGGGGGGGGGGGGGGGGGGGGGGGAGGATTGTTTGGGGAAGAAGCTTTTTAACCCTTGCCATCGTAATAGAATTATATGGGCAATTTACCAATGAGATAATTTCGCCAATCGTTGGCCGTACACATGTGAAATATGCCATGTGCCCTAAAATTTGTCACGAGAAGAAATAACACGTAACAGTACCGGGAGACAGACAAAACCCCACACGTCAAAACCGCAAAAATTTTATAGAGTGGACAAAAAACCCACATATCAATTTTATAGAGTGGAAAAAGTGAATATAACCCCACACTTTTTGTTACTAATTTTGAATTGACCGTTGAATGACAATAAAATATCCAACATTATTGACATTTTGAATAATCAATGTTAATTAAGATTTATGAATGTTTACCCTCAGAGTCTGATATTTATTTAACAAGTTCTTATATTTGAAAGTTGACGCGACATCAGTAATTTTAAATATGGCGCATTAACGTAATTAAAATGTATATCAACTAATATGAAAATAAATGCATCGTCATTTAAATGGTCAATTAAGTTCTAAATTTTAGTGCAGTAATTACGCCCACTTAAAGGGAGATACGTTTCGGCTAGAAGGCTTTAACTAATTTCTTTCTTATAGTAGAATTAATATTAAGTTATACTCCACAGTTTTAAGAATTTAAGAGTTTATTGTTCAACATCAGTAAAAACTTTGGTATCAAGATATTTGTATTGGTTTGTCGGTGATATGGAATCAAATATCCGCCTGTTTCTAGTTAATATTAGTTTGTCTTTCTAAATAATTTCCAATAGATGAACTATTTAACATTGATTACAAAATATAAAAGATGATAGGGAAGAAAAGAAAATGTTGCTGAATTAAACCTGCTATCATCTTTATAGTAAAAGGTACGAAATAACTAATTATCTCCTCTGAATAATATATATTGATATATTATGTATTTTTCATGTAACATATTACATGCTTATTACATGGAGTAAACAGCGTCGAATGTGAAATAATTTGTGATAAAAGAAGCCACACGTTGATGAACAAACAGGTATTTTCATACGATTCTCTCTTTTAAAATACTAAATCACTATAAGTTATATATGGTCAGCAAAAAGCCACACATATTTCCACAATATTGCCAATGAGTACAGTTTTGGAAACCGTATTAGAACACCAAAAATAAAATACTTTTGGGAAAGATAAATTGTATTCCTGTAGGGCTTTAAAATCTGTAAACAAATATAATGAAAGTTTATATTATTAAATGTTTTTTTATGATAACTATGCGGGTTCAGTTTCATGCATTTATATCAAAGTAACATACACATGTGTTATATGACAGCAGGACCTCTTGATCTTTTAATTCTTGGCTAGTGCCAATACGGGTTTTGTGATATAATAACCTCTTAGCAATACATAGTTGGTCAAATGTTTTTCATAAGCAAACAAAGACAGACACATAGAAAATATTTAACAGACAAATGCTAAAGTGTAAGTAATAAATATGTTCTAAATGCTGGTGCAGGTAAACTGAATGTCCAAAAAAGGAGATCAGATCAGATAGGATCAGATCAATTAAACATCGTAAAAGATGTAGTGAATTTCCACTTTTCCAGATGTAAGATTTAAGTCGATATTTGAAGGAGAAAATAGATCAGTCACAGGGTAAGTTTCAACATTTTAAACATTTATATAAAATACAAAGCTCCTTTCAGAGAAATCGAAATGTGATTCTACTCTCCTGGCTTTCCTTTATATTTAGTTACCCATATCGTTCGGATTTTAATGCAGTATTCATCGAGATATACTTGCCGTCATGGGTTATGGTGTGCCCAAAATACGCAATACGTATTGAGAATGTGTCGCTAAACGGACTCCAAATGCAGAGTTTCCTCAAAATCTAACACCAAACGATGCTTAATATTCAAACAAAAACAAAACCTTAATGAAGCATTTATTGGGAATAGGCTCAACATAAAGGAATTGCTGGACACAATTACAGTCGAGTTTCATATGTGCTGAAGAGATCCATAGCTGATATAAGAAATGATAAACAAGATAGACAAGGGAAGGCGGCGTTCAATGAACGCAAACCATCTACAAAACAACGGATTACTTTCATAATAGTAATTGAATAGCATGTTAGTTTGGCCACGTTCTTTTCACCTATAGAAAGGAGTGTTTGATATAAACAATTTTGTCGTAAAATTAACAAAATATAGATTAACTATTAACTTGACTTCCATACAAGATACTCAATAAATGCTACTTTATCAATTGCCAAAAGCAACAGAAGTCAAAGATGACTTTGTCAACTAGCTATTAAGTTACTTTTAAGAAACTTTACTAGGACTCCAAGAATAAAAATATTGTTCGTGAACATGTGTTATAGTGATGAGGTTATATATTGTATTTATATTTGCCATATTTT